TTGGCTGCTATCTGAAAGGCTGATCCCCTCTGGAGCTCTGGGGAAGAAAGACCCGGTGGTGGGCTTCCAAGAAGATCGTGCCCAAGAAAACCCGATGGGGCAATCAGCCCTACTCTGTTGCACGGCGTTGTTAGGAGCTGGCAATCAGTAGCACTTAGCAACAACATGTGCAAAATGCTTCCAGTCCAGCATTAATTTCTACTCTTCTGGCAAACAAAAACAAAATAACGTGAAAATAGTGACAGACAGTAAGCTCAACAGTTCTTTATAACACGAGGTAGCAGAATTTATAAGAAATCTCTTTATACCCTCTTCAAAAAAGTTTAGCCGGTTAATCAAAAGTAGCCAGTCAGCGCCTATAAAGAGTATTACGGACTGTTTCATTCTACACCGTTTAGCACTTCTAAAATCCTGGATCTCATAGAAGCAAGTGGGAAGTGCTAGATATTTAACAACTGATAGAGGCTGACAGGTAGCTAATGCTACAAACGATCTTTTACCACTTGTAGACCGAAGTAAAAAGATAACTATATTGGTTTTTCCCCATTTTTTTGTCAATTACGGTTTTTCGTTATTTCTTGTTTTACAGATAATTAGGTTATTGTCTTTCTTTCCATTAATAATCAGCTACTTAAGTTTCAATAAATGTGAACCTTCATACCTACCATGTGATTGTGTTATACAAATTTATTCAATGTTTTCAACAAGGATTTGTTATGAATAAATCCATGTGTGATCACCATCTCAAGGCCAGAAATACCGAGTCAAAAACATTAACCTGTTCAACATAATAACTGTTGCACTCCACTGCCTGTGTCTATGACAAAACAAAACTATCTCCTAAGCTTCATGTTTAAAATGTACAGCCTTTAAATCTCCCTGTTGTAATTTTAAAATCACAGAACCAAACTGGGCACATCTTTGGTCAGCTTTAAGAAAAAACAGAAAATATATTTTCCAAGCTGAATGCTTTATTAGGGGGGTAATTTTGAATACTAATAAGCTGCATTTGCTCTCAGTCACCAAAAGCAAATATATGTAGCATGGGAAACAGTAGCAGTAAGTGGAAGTTCTTTATTTTTAAAATAGAGGAGGTTGTTTCTACAGTAGTATAGCAAACAAATTTCAGAAAATGTGGACAGAGCAAGAGAGTAGAAAGGAAACCACCTTTGTACCCAAACCATTACATGCATCATTAAACTTCCACACAGTTTCTCCAGCCTTTTAATGTGCAAGCTTAAATGGTTTTATTTACTTACAAATTAGCCATCATGCCATTTATAGAACTTGTACAGAGGCAGGCATACTGCACACACATAAGAATCACCATTCACGGTAATGTTTTCTTTGTTCCAAACCCAATTTTGCCGGGCCTCAAAATGTGAGCCAATCAAAAAATTATATATCACTGTTAACAAACAAAACTACACCACCTTTACGTCCATTTTCCTAGAAATGAAATTACTGAGCAACTACATACATTTTTAATCATTATTACATTACTCATAGAGGATATAAATGGCTTTACAAATATGGTTATACAATAATATGCATTTCTAATGGACTAAAACACTTTCTTAGATTACTTGCCTTTTACCTGTCATCCCCTAAGAGTTATCCTGCAATGAACCCCACAGACTAATATTTTCAATGAGAATAGTGCTCTCAAAACTGCTAATATTTTCCCCAGTAAGCTCTATGTTGGGAGCTTAAGTAGTCTAGATTTAGTATTTTATCATATTTTCCTTGATTGGTTTTGATCTCCCAACAAGATAATATGCATTTTTAAAACCCTGATTATGTTTAATAGAAAGTGAATGGATGTCAAAGAACATTTTGCTTTGCTTAATGAGACTTTATAGATTAAGTCTAATTATCACTGATAAAAGCTAAAATTCCTTTATGTATTGAACAGTAATTAGCTTTCCTTTCAGAACAAGTTTATTAATCTTACAAAAATAATGGTATCTTTGGCATATTTAAGTAAGGGTTTAATAATACAACTCCCAAATTAAAAACCGAGAAGAATTTTTATAGGATATATTATCTTTTAATTATTATGTTTTGAACTAGAGTTAATGTAGAATATGTAGGAAGTATAGTTTCTCATTAAAATTCTGAGAACCTATTTAATAACGGCTTTATTTTGAGTCCAAAAATTTTGTTTTTAATGTATAAAAGAAAAATCCTAGACTATATTTCTGTAAAAAAGCTAAACCTCAGATAAATAAATTTTTGCATTTTAGAACTACTAGTGAAAACACAGGTGGATCTGGACACAACTTGCTTCTTACAAACATTAACAATAGCAAAAAAGTGTGTGTGTGTGTGTGTGTGTGTGTGTGATCTATGCAAAAACAAACAAACCAAACTTTCTTTCTTACCCAGAAACCTCTCAGGTTCCAGTTATGCTTCTGCCTTATTGGTACTGAGTGACCTCGGGAAATTCCCTTAATTTCTGAGTTCCCAGAACAAAATCACCTACAGACTGTGGATGGCCTTTTCCATAGGATGGGAAAGCCTGACTATTCACAGTAGAAAATATCAAATGCCAGGAAAATGTCTTTTTGAGCAGTAAAATGGATGAAAGAAGTGGAAAGAGGTGGCTCAAGCCAAAAAAATAAAAAATCAACTTGACACGGTTGAGCATATTAGCTGTTTTGAAACATTTACCGTGTTTTCCCGAAAGTGAGATATTCCCCGAAAATAAGACCTACTTAGTTTTGCTTCTCGCTGAAATATAAGGCATCCCCCGAAAATAAGACCTCCCCAAACATAAGGCCTCCCCATAATAAGGCCCCCCGAAGCTACCTAACTCTGGACTGTAGCGGTAGGTGCTGCCGCGCAGCTCACCGTTGGCCGCAGCGCAGCCGGAGCAGACAGGAAGTGCGAGTAAATGCACCATAGATTGTGAGTAAATGTACCATAGATTGTGAGTAAATGCACCATAGATTGTGAGTAAATGCACCATAGATTGTGAGTAAATGCACCATAGATTGTGAGTAAATGCACCATAGATTGCTGTACATGGAAATAATGGCAGTAACAAGAAATTCTTGATACTGTAGGATTCACAGTTTGTCTGGTTATACTGGTTTGTGATGACAACTACTACCGTACCGTATACAGGTAATAAATTTCCTTTTTTGGTTGTTCAACAATAAATGTGTACCGTCTTCTTCTTCATGGAAAAACAAGATGTCCCCTGAAAATAAGACCCAGCACATCTATGGGAGCAAAAATTAACATAAGACACTGTCTTATTTTCGGGGAAACAGGGTATGCACATAATCAATCTCATTTCAACTATAATAGAAGGGGCACTGGTGGTGTAATGCATTAAGCAATGGACTGCTAACCTTAAGCTCGGTGACTCAGGGCCTCCAACTGGCAGGAGAGTGATAAGACTGCCTGCTTCTGTGAAGATTTGCAGCCTCGGAAGCCCGGCTAATCCATCCACCGGGGCTGCGCGAGTCAGAAATGGCTCGATGGCAGTGGGGCTTTCACCAGCCTATGAGACTGGAAGCGTATATTGTGTCTATGTGGTCGATAAAGGAATTGAGGGATAGGGAGTCTGACTGTATTCTAACTCAAATAACGAGCATGCAATACAGCTTTGCCAGCTGCATCCTTTCCCCAGGTATTTTCATAAGGGCAAGACATTTAATTTTTGGTTGGCAAAAACTGTACGTAGCACGTGAGTGATTTGTGTGAAAATAAATCTTTATGTCAGAACTAGATCTGGGTCTTCTGGTTACTCGGCTAGAACTTCTTTTAGTCGAGCCAAATGAAACTAGAGGAAATAGGAGTATGGATCAGGAAGAACCCTGATGGCAGGGACGAAAGCTCTTGACTACTGACTTACAGGTGGGCGGTTAGAACCCTCCAGCGTTACCGGAGGAAAGCTGCAGTGATGTGTTTCTATGAAGACAGGCGCCTGGGAACTTTGTGGGACCGCTCTGCCCTGCCTTACAGGTTTGGTAGTAGGCAGTGGAGTCAACCTGATGGCACACAATGACAAGCTGAACACGAATCAGGGAAAACAGCAAAGGAAACGTACATGAGTCCTCTGTGGTAGGTTCTTTGCTCTGATTGGTGAAGTTGTGTCCTTAACCTACCACGTCCACCTCAAAGGGGACAATAAGTTCAAAATTTTAAAAATCATATTTAAAAGTCAATTTCTGCCCATGGCAGAAATTTCATCTTTCTAATTTTAAGGAAGAAGAAGAACAAAACCACCAAACTTGTGAATAACCATATGGCCTGGCATAATCAAATGGACAAAATCCTTCCCCCCTAAATGACTGCATGTTTTTGATCTTTTGAACTGATTTATAATAATAAGATCACCCTATTGTAACTTTCCTATATATGTCATGACCATTCAGATAGTTCTGTACCTGCATAAATTACAAAATTACTAATAGACTTAATTAGAAGAAAAAAAAGATTTGCTTTAAAAATGCATTTATTATGTGAAAGTTCCTTGCTCTGGAAACAGAGGAAATTGAAGGCTTAGTGAGTGTTTACCATAAATTTATATGTATAGCTTTATAAATAACAAAAGGCAATACTTCAGAGTGTACTGAAATTTATTTCAATGAAGTACTACTTTTTGGTTTAAAGACTACTTTTTAAAAAAGTGGATACCTGTGGTCTATCTCTGGCTTCATAGAAGTCACCCACTCTTATTTTTGCACTGAAGCTGAAATTGTCCCTTGAGATATCCATTATTCTATTTCTGCTGAGATACTGAAAAAAATCACATATTTTTCCACTTCAGGTTTTAATAATTACAACCCAGCTTTGATGAATAGCTATCCTCAGGAGACTAATGTTGTGCAAATTCCATCAAAGGGCTAAAGATTTATAGGAGATCAATTTAGGGTAAGTACATTAGTCCCATACAAGACTTTATCTGAGGAAAGAATGGCCATGTTTCTCTCCATCAGCATCCTGGATGGGCACCAAATGCACATTACTTGGTATAAAGTATGTACCTTTATTACTTCAGGGTACTGTCTAAGTTTCTTGCCACATGGAGTATAATATGCTGCTTCTCCTTGAATGCGCCCTCCAACGTTTCTTATTCTTGTCTCCCTTTGCCAGCTACACACAGTAGAAATGAGGGTTAGGACATATGTACTTAACCTGCAACGAAGCGTTTACAAACTAGAAAAACAACAATTAAAGTGTACACATGCTCCCTAGAAAACCAGACTGACACACAGAAAATAAAAACAATCCCTTAACTGTACAATCCACAAACATGCACTACTAAAATTATTTTTACTTTTAGTTAAGTAAAGCAATTCTAAAAAGTTGTAACGGATATTACTTGAGGCATACAGCAATATCCAGAACCATGAGTCGATATATAGCACAGTATAGTATAGTTTATATACTATAGTTTATAGACTGTATATATTGTTATATACAATATATAGAACAGCACAGTTTATACACTACAGTTTATATACTCTATATAGTTATATATGATATATAGCACAGTACAATATAGTTTATACACTATAGTTTATATACTGTATATATAGTTATATACGATATATAGCACAGTGTAGCATAGTTTACATATAATAATTTTTTGTATCTGAAAAGTTCTCAGTGAGAAGAGTGACTCACTGTTCCTTGACACTCATGCACCTCTCCTCCTAAACCTGTCAGTTCCATTAAACCATTTTAACTGAACTCGGTTGGAATTCTTCATTTTGTCCACAGTTTTCAATGTCCTTTCATTCTACCTTCACAAAAATCCATTAGCATTCTTAACTGCATTCCTGACCTTTGCCAAAGGACTTGCTTTGGGTTCTCTTTCAGCCAAATGGCAGAGAACGCCATTTAGCTGGCTGCATGATCCCATCCCAGTGCCACCATAGCAGGTAGCTTTAATGTCACCTGCTCTATCCACCAGTGAGAATGCTAATTCTCACACAGGCCATTCACTTCTTGTATTTGCAGTTGAGAAGAAGACATCAGCAGCCCGCCCCGCTCCCACCACAAGTGTCCACACCCCTCTGGGGAAAGCAAAGAGAGACTCAGGTCGTACCCATATTCCAAAGGGACACGCAGCTCCCGCTCCTCCGCGACTCGTCTTCGTTTGGATGTGCCTTCGAGAAAATTCAGCCCGTCAATACAGATGACCGCCTTTTGACTTTCTATAGCACGTGCTCTTTAAGAGTAATACTTTAGTGACGTGGATGATCCAGCATCCTTCTAAATCCCGTACACCATTTAGAGATGTTTCCAACAGAACATGTATAAAGCAGAGGTGTTTTCTTTTTTCACTATGCCTGAACGGCAGAATAACTAGCCTTTCTCGCTAAAGAAAAACAATCCGAAGTAAAACCATCTATTTTTCTCCTCTTTAATATAGTTATGAAAGAAATGACGAGAAAAGTAGGAGGACAAATAGATAATGGTTTGGTATGTCTGCTTATAGTTGTTTCTTTGAAAATGTGAGGCTTCTCCTTCTTGCTAAACGTCCAGATATATCGACAGTCAATAACAATAGAAGGTGTTTGACTTAATCGAGAGTACAAATAGTAGTATGATGGTGATATTATTGATTCCTCCCAGACAAGTTTCAGAGATACGAATATGTGTATCTGACATTAGTAAGACATACTAGCTTATGGCAAATGAAAGCACAATTAGAAGTTGCCAAGAAGAGTGTGAAATGCAAGAACTGGTTAACACAGTATTTCACTACATACAACTTTCCCTTCACTCTTGGATGAGAACAGAGTAGCTTTGGAATATTAAATGTACAAACTTTTACTGAAGCTTATACAACTCTTGAAGTTTATAAAAAGCCAAATAGGAAAAAAATACGGCATGTTTTATCTGAAAGTCAAAATATTAATAAAATTCTCTATTTTTTTAAGCACAAACTGAAAGCAAAATCAGAGAAGTACACCAAATTAAGAGCTGGCATCAATCAGATTCTTAATTTGGGAGTGCAGAGAGAATAAAAGTAAATGCTGGCTTTTCTTAGCCAGCTTAGAATCTACCTGTAACACTTGATTCCAATGAGCTCGTCTCCAGAACACTGTATAAATGAAAATTCTTGCTATAATTTGAATATTACTTTACAATAATAAAAATAAAGGGTAGGTACCAGAGTGCGGGCTTGAAGTAAGTGTGGAAGAAGGTGTGCCAAGAAAAGCAGGTGACTGGGATTCAGAACATAAGGCAGCAGGAGCAGAGCCTGGGGCTTTTGCTATGTGGAGGTTACGAGGTGTTGAGTGGGCTGAGAGACTGATGGAAGGGCTTTTGACAGAGGAAGCGGTTTTATTCAGTTTCATGGAAGTTTTCTCTCCTTCAGTATCACTATCTGATTCATCTTGGTCTTTATCATCATCATCATCTTCTTCTTCTGATCCTTCTGTATCTGATTCTGAATTACTATCTGATTCTGGGAAGTAAAAGAAGTATTGTATATTATAACTAGATAATCACCAAGGGTTTGTAGTTTGTAACTAAATGGGATTGTTCAGGCACTAGCATTTATAATTGAGAACTCAAATGAGCAACTTCCCCCAAGAATAAGTGCAACAACTGTTAAGTATAAGCTAGTGGAGCATACCTAAACTATACATTCTCAAAATTCCTCATTTAAAGTAGCAATTTTACTCAAAACTTTAATCATGTAACAGTTCTCACTATTCATATGGTGAGTTCTGCTTATTGGTTTCAGAATCACTTTTAACTTAATGCAGAAACTAAGGTACAGTGAGAATGGAACTGATTTCTCAGTGACACTGGTGAAGTATATGAAGGCCAGGAGGAGGACAAGAAGCCTCCTGTTACCATTATCCTTTCTTCTGAGCAAACAATTTTCTGGGGGGCGGGGGGAATCATAGCTTTAAACATTTGGGGGTGGGGGTATTTTTTAATTTAGGTGCAAGACTTTATCAGTTTCCCAGACTTCCCAAAAGACGAAGCTTATAGAAACGGTCATGACAGGATAATGTAGTGATTTACCAGTCTAAGCTTGTTCTGTCTATGAGATAGCCCTCCCCAGTTTCAAGCCAAGCTTTAGCGTTTTCTGGGACAAAGAGCAAGGGGTGGGTCAGGGTCAGTGGGCAGGCAGTTTACTGAAGTTTGCCTTCTGTGCAGACGGACACTGAAGAAGTGTCCGTACGTGGATTCCACAGGGGAGAGTGTGCCTTGCCCTGACAGAACAGGAATGCTACCCAACTTGCAAAGGCTGGTTCAGAACAGTATTGGCCAAAGAGGATGCTGGATACTCTTGTGACAGACTTGACACAGCAGGCCTCTTCTCCTCTCTTCCTGGCACCATAAGTGTCCCAGACTTCAGTGGGACCCAGGGAGGGAAGGCCCAAGACAAAATATTCTGACATCAGGGTGGGATGCAGATATTAAGATGACAATGAATTGAACAGAAATAAAAATTTTCTTGTACAATGGAATTTCTGGGTTAAGATTCATACCACTATCCAAAATTTCAAGAAGGTTAACTAAAGAATGTACAATCTCCTCACGCCTCCAGATAGGAGGGGGCCTTTAAAAAATTCGTGGCAAGTTTCCATTCTCGTAATCCCACTTTTCTGAGAACTTTTTGAAGGCCTCCCTCTTCTCCCCACCCCCCTCACGTAAAATCTAATCTTGGGCTAAGCGTGGTAAGCACAGGGTTGGTACTTGGACTCCTTTCCTAATGGTTCCCGGAGGAACACCATTTGTGGGATGACAGATGTGTGATGCTTGATGCTATCTGCTTATCACGGGATTCATAACTAAAGTTTAGGAACATTATGAATATTAATACTCATTATGTTTCACGAAAAGTTTTATTTATGGGAACCCAAGGGAAAAAAGTCTTCTCTGGGGAAGATGTTCTCACCTTAAACAAGTATTTTGTGTTTGCCTTAGAGACACTTTGGATTGCATAACTGACTAGTTCTATTGGCTGCTAGAAATTGCATAGTGTGGTTTATGGTTGGTCAGTAACAAATTCAAAAACTTTAAAACTTTTCTGTGGGGCAAGAAAGAGAGGGAAAGGAAAAGAGAACAGAAATAAGAAAGTGGGGGTGGCTGGGTAGCCTAGACAATGAATCCAAATAAAATGGAGGAGCACCAGCTAATTCTCTGGATGTGGACATCCATAAGCATACAGGAATGTGGGCAGGTACTTTCGAATAACTGTGATTACACATTTGACCTTTGTTCAAAAATGTTAACACTAGCCTCTTAACAATTTAGCATAAGAGATTACTGTATATACTCAAGTATAAGCCAACTGAATATTAGCCAAAGCACATAATTTTACCACAAAAAACTGCATTAAAAATGTGCTGGAAAACTCGGCTTATACACAAGTATATATGACAAACACACACACACTCACTCACTCACACAAATGAGGTGTCCTGAAGGAAATAAAAATGAACTAAGCTGATGAAATCATGTCATGCATGTAATATTTGTATTCACTTTAAAGCACATTGCTCACTTAATGTCATATGAATGGGCGAGTTGGGTAACTTGTCTTTCCAATTCAATTACCCCCGCACTCCACCAAAGGAAGGAACCAGGGCACAACAGCTGTGCGCAACAAGGTGAATGGCCAGGACCCTGCGTCTGTGCGTAAAGACGCTCCTTAAACTGCTTTACTTCACAGAGAACGTAAAGAAAAAATTTGTTTAACTTTAAAAATAGGAAATAACCTGATTGGCTGTCGTCAGATTCATCATCTTCGTCATCCTCCTCATCTTCCTCCTCGTCTTCCTCCTCTTCATCCTCGTTTGAATCTTCTGAATCTTTGCTACTAGGAATGTCTGAGTCCGTGCCTCGAAAGTGTTCCACGAGGGTTTTCGCAGGGTGCGGGTGATGCTGCGTGGGGACTGCGGTTGCAGTGCTGCCCGCTGCGTTGTCCCTCCCGTGACTATGCAGGAGGGGAGAGGGCGAGGGCATGCCAGGGGTTCTTCTCCCACTTGTACTCAAGTTGACGGGGGAGGGAAAAGGGCTGTTACTCGCAGCAGCAATGGTTTCATTAATCCTACTCTGTGTTTTCGTTTTGGTCGTCAGTGCGAGAGGGGCTTCCTGAATGACACTCGGAATCACTCCGTTCGGTTGAGGAGGCCCTAAAAGTGCGCTTGTCAGAAACGGATGAGGGTGGTTATTGTCTAGGGTTTGTTTGGGATGTGCTGGTGAACACGAGGCTGCTTTGGGACTGGACAGAGCTGCAATGACCTTCTTCAGGCTCTTGGATGACTCCTGTTTCTTTAACTGTGCTGGGAATGTCTGTTTGTATTGTTCCTGTTAAAACAGAAATTGAAAGGGGGGAAAAAGTACAATAACAACCAGGATTATGTGTCTTTCAGTGTCTGAGAATAGCTCCTTATATACAAATTTAAATCACAAGATACAAGTGCAATAAAAGGAAGGGGCAGCTCTACCTTAGATATTCAAAATTCAATTTAGCAAAGTCAGCAGTTTAACCCTACCAGGCCCTCCTTGGGAGAAAGAGGAGGCTATCTGTGTCATCGAGATTTACAGCTTCAGAAAACCAGAACTCCTGCTTGTGTCGCTGTGAGTTCAAACCAACTCAGTAGCAGTGGATCTGGTCTTGACTGTTGCCTTCATTCCGCCACTCACCTACACGTGCACCCTAACACACGTCCCTTTCCACCTTCAATCAGCTATGCACTGCCATGCTTTTGAAGTGTTTATGTATTGCTCATATTAAAGCCTTATCATCTTTCCTTCCCGTCCAACTCCTAATCCACACCATAAAACAAAGCTAGTTTACCTGAATTTATTATATTAGCTCCTTGGTCAAAAGCTTTTAGTGCCTTCCCCACTTGGTAAGTCTAAATACTTTATTGAGGTTATTAAATTACTTTACATTTTAGCAGTAACATATCTTCCCAACCAAACTAGACAATTGGCCAGGCCTTACGCGTGTCATGAAAGGAGCCCTGGTGGCATATGGTTACACATTCAGCTATGAATCACAAGGTCAGCAGTTCGAAACCACCAGCCACTCCTCGGGAGAAAGATGGGGCTTTCCACTCCTGAAGACAGTTACAGTCTTGGCAACTCACAGGGGCAGTTCTGTCCTACCTTGTCCTATAAGGGTTGCTGGGAGTCAGCACTGACTTGGTGGAAGTGAGTTGGGTTTTTTTAGTTTGTATGCATGCCATACTTTTCACTATCGCTATATTTTGCTACGATCACTTTCTTTGAATGAAATGTTTTCATCTTTCCATTTTAAGATGAAAACATATTGTGCAAAGAAGGTTTTTATACTTTAGTTTATTACACTGTTTTAAATGTTAATATGTTGACATTGAATATAATAAAATAAACCAAATTTCTTGGGGGAAAATTATCTGCAAGCACCATTAAGCCATAAAATTTACAGCTGTATATAAGAAAAAAATGACAAGAATCCCCTTGAAAATAATAAAGGTATATACATTTCATTAATTAGGTGTAACTAAAATAAAAAATAAAGTAAAATGAAATTATTAAAGTCTTTTATGCTAATAGAGGAAGAGTTGAATTTCCTGAGCTGAAACTGTGCACTGAGAATGACTAGCTCCAAATGAGCATCAATTGGCTGCCAGTATCAGACTCAGCCTTCTAACATGCAAGCTGGTGAAACCTGCGATGGGCATTTCACAAAGATAAATGAAGGTGTAAAGGCATACAAGATTACTTAGCAACAGATAGTAAACAAAGGCAATATATAAATTCCATTGACACGTAACATCTTTTCTATCATAGTTTAGAAAATGAAGTTATTTAGATAATTCTTTGTAAACAATTACAGGAATATAATATTTGTACTTAAGGCAATGTCTCACAAAGAGTAAGTGCCTAATTAGAGTTTGTTCAGTGAATAAACTATGGAAATTACATTATTTATCTACCTTTTACAATAAGAAACCTTAGCATTTATTTTATAAAATAGTATTTCTAATATGAGTATTTCTTAAGTAAAACATCTTCACATAAAACTTAAAATACTTAGCAGAGAAATCAGTATATTTTGATTTCTTGGAAAATAATGTCACAAAACAATTTTCTCTCTTTCTTTATAGGTAGTAAGATTTTCTTCTACTCACAGGACCAAAGGAGACATGAAAATCAACGCCTTCCCTTTAGTTGTACATTCTAATTTTTTGTAAGTGTTCCTTAAAATTCAATACTTAATAATCTCCTTCCATATACTGAAACCTAGAGGTTTTCAAGAACCAATGATTCTTCCATTGTACGCTATAGCTAGTATCCATTACTACTTTATACCACACACAGTTCTCCTTTTTGACATGAAGGGTAGGATGTAAAAGAACAGTGGCATTGGTGGGTCAGTGGTCCAAGTCTTGCCTTCCATGTGGGGCAACCATGAATTCAAATTCATGAGTTCAATTTCCAGTCAGTGCACTTTGTTTGCAGCTCCGGCCCCTCTATCAGCTGAGGTTTGCAGTTGCAAGGCTGCTGAACAGGTTTCAGAAATGCTTTCAAGTTAAGACAGACTAAAAAGAGAGCCCTAGAGATCTGCTTCCAAAAATCACCAACAACAATCCCAACAGTCTCATCTATAACTAATCATAGAAATGGTGCAGTGCTTCGTCCCATTGTGCCTTGGGTCACTGTGAGTTGGGGCTGGGGGCTATGACTCACTGGTAAGGAACAATAACAACATATAAGAAGAGGGACGAGGGGAAAACTGAGACATGGATTATTTGGTGGAGCTACTGGGTAATGGTTAACCTCAAAGTTGGTGGTTCAAACCCATCAGCTGCCCCACAGGAGGAAAGATGGGGCTGTTTGCTCCTGCAAAGATTTATAGTCTTGGGAACACTATATAGGATCGCTGTGAGTTGGAATTGACAATTTGGAAGCGGGTTTTGGTTTGGATTTATAGTAGCAAAATTTCTTGATGCACTAAGATATCTGTGTGAAGGACAAGCGCATGGAAAATCCAGAGCTCGAAACACTGTCCTAATTCCATGTTCTCCGCCCTCAGCTCCCACATGAGTTGCTATGGCGGACTAAACCAAACCCTGCACCTTCTTCTTGCACCGCTGGATGGGTTCCAACTGTCCATGGTTTGGTTCTTACCAAGCATTCCACTGTTTGCAGCAACCAGGGATGATCCAATTTAATACTTGTCAGGACTGAATTGAATGTCTACGTTAAATGTCTAAACAGACATTTAGAGTTGAGTATAATGAGAATGTCCATGCATATAACGTATTTCCTTTAACTAATTTTTTAAAAATTAGTTTTTTCCCCCAGATAATTCGTATTACAATTTCTGAATGATCTCGTTTGTAGAAACAAGATCTCTCCCCCCACCCACCCCCATCTTAATCCTGGGCATGGAATGACTTTGTTTTGTTTTTTTTCTGGTTCAATGAACTTCTTTTATTTTATTTTTTCTGCCGGTGACTTTTGAATTTTATTTTATTTTATTTTTTTAATCATTTTATTAGGGGCTTATACAACTCTTATCACAATCCATACACACATCAATTGTGTAAAGCGCATTTGTACATTCATTGCCCTCATCATTCTCAAAACATTTCCTCTCCACTTAAA